CTGTTGGGTGTCTTAGAGTTTTTTAACACAATGCTTTGTATGATGGCCTTGATGTTGCTGTTCCTGACCTGAATGTGGGTTTTGCCATTAGTTTCAGTAGGGATTGTCTTGGGTGCTGAGCCAGTGTGAACTTCCTCTACCTCACCTGTGAACCTGGCACGGTAATATTGTACAAAGTGGCATGGATGAGATCTATTCCAGATCACAGCTGTTTGTAAACTACCATGTCTGAGCACAAAATGGGATGGGAGGAGAGAATGAAAGGGGACTCTCCACAGTAACACTGAAATATTTTAAAGAGATCCTTGAATGCAAAGTGGTAAATACTGACAGTATTCCTAGGGGGTTTTGCTCTGTATAGGTTCTTGAAAGGGATTATTCCACAGTAAGTTTTGTGATTGGCTTCAGTGGGGTTTTTTTTCCTGTCCTGGCATTCTGAATTTTCCCAGGATTATCATAATATCCTCTAGGCCTGAGTAGCAACACAGGTGCCTTGCCATCTTCACTGGCCCCCAGCCCATCTCCATGCTTTCCCTTTAGGCAACAATTCTCTTTCTGCAGAGGATAATCAGCTCTTTTAAAACACTCTCAACAAAACTGGTTTATTCAGACTTGGGGATTGCTGCTGAACAGAAACATTTCTCAGTGAAATTTCTACCTTTTAGCATCTGGAAACAGAGGCAGATCCCAGGTAAAACAAGTATTGATTCCATGAAACACAACTTGTTTCTGCAATCTGCTTTCAGCTGAATCTTACACAAACATCATGAAGGAGATTTAGACACAGAGTGACATAATCTTGGTGCACATTTTTTGCTGTCTTTTAAGCATTTTACTATCCTTACCCTATGCAATCACTCATTCTGCCTTGCCCTGCCTTCCTATCAAAGGATATGGATGCTGCAGATATTTCTTAGCTAAGTGCCAATGTAGCTAAAATCAAGGAATTAAAAAATTGCTGTCTATATAGCTGTTAAACTAATTTATTCCACCACCTTGAACGAAATAGGGCAGCTTTTAGTGCTGATTTCATGATTTGATAAGAGGACTTCAGTTCTCAATCCATAGTAATTCTCAGTGCCTGATACTTTGTATTTTTCCAGTCCCCACTGAGTTGCTTCCAACTGTCTGCAATCAAAGCACTTGGGGATGTTTTGTACAACCTTTTGCTTGCCTTTTTTTTTTTTTTTAATCTGTAATTCAATTTCACATTAAAAGACTTTCTTCAATATATACTTAAGTTCTGCTGATCCTCAAGCTACACAAAAGATTTTTGTTTAAAGACATAACAGATCCTTGACTCATAAAATACTTCCTGGGTCAAGAACTGCAGCAAGGTCTTACCTATAGTATCTTTAACCCTGTGGAGATGCATGTAGTGAATTACAGAATGAAAAAATATGAGCTCCAAAATCTAAAGTCCTCCAGAATCATGCAAACCAAGAAGAGATTATTATTTGCACCTCCAATTTGTTCTTCTCTTACAGTTAAGTGACAGTCACAGTTTGGACTCTTTCAGATTCTTTTAGTAGTTGAAGCTGATGTGAATCCCAGAAAATTGGGGCTATGAAAAAGTGAATTCCATTGCCCATGAAAAGCAGAATCCAGACACTTGCATGAATATTGTTTTCTGTGTTTGTCATGTAACAGGTATCTTTATGCTGACATGCTGATTGCTAATGGGATGGTGTATGGTGGCACACTAGATGTGGAGACCTACAGTGAAAGTAAAGACACCTAGATAAAGTGTATTGAAATGTTGTTCAGGAAATGTCTACAATGGCTGACAATATTGTGTTGTCTTTCACATGAATTTATATCTTTATAGGATTTGGAAATTGAAATCATCAAAATAGTTTATTATTAACATTCTTCTGTTAATTAGATAATTAAATGTTATCTGATACATGGAAACAACTTTCACCTGCATATTTCTGATACTGCTACATCTTATCCAAATGCTAGAAAATTCAGGACTTTGACAGAACACAAAAGCCTGTTGAGGTGCAATGAAAATATTTTTTTTTAAGTGGGATTTTGCACTTGTTAATCACACCATTTGTGATACAGGACTACTGTTCTTGGGGTACATCAATCAGCATCTCTTCTGTCTCTACTGACTTGAGTGACTGAATCTCTTGAGAACCTATCATGAATCTCTTACTCCATCTGGGAGTTCATTTTGCATAACGAACACATTTATAGCAACCCATCTGAAAACCTTTTAGAGTTGTTAGTACATGGACTGGGATATTACTTGTGGTGACAGGAAAATAATGCTGTAGCCAAGGGTTGACAAGATGAATACGTATGATGTTACTTTATTGCCCATTTCTTGCATAGCACCACACGCTGCTCAGCAAGGACTGTGCGCCATTATTTCAGAGTATTTCGGTTTTGAGGGGTATTTTTTTTTCTATCTTGAAAGCAAAAAAATCAAAATACTCTGCAGTTGCCATTTAAAATAAGACCATCTTTGCTGGCTTCTCTGTGAGATTACAGTACTTGTAGTCAGTCTAATTGAGATATTTTTAGAACCAGAAGCACTCAGCTGGGAACCAGGTTGTTTTCCCATTGTAAGACACCCAAAATCTTCGCAATCATTAAACATGCCACATGAACAGTTCTGCATTTTGCCAATACTGGTGTTCACACCAGTTATTTCCTTCACTTTTCAATCAAACACACAGACACAAGTGAGAACAAGAGGGAAACAATTTATTTGACAAGTTACTTAAAATAAATGGGAGATTTTGAAAGTGATAAGAAATTTTAACTGGCAGAGATAGACCACAACCCCATAGTCAGAGAAAAAGTGGTATTGTCAAAAGTGTATAGCAAAGCATGAACACATTTGTAGAAGGAAGAGTGTTGTATGACTGCACACTGTCAATAAGTAATGATGAAACCCCTACCCCACAGGCTTGTCTGGGCACACAGAGCCTGCAGGGTTGCTAAGACAATGTTACTGCTACAGACACATTTAGATAGTGGTGTATTTACAGCTAGCAAAAATAGTGAGCTGTGCAGATCAACCCAAACATGGCTCAATGGAACCTTTATATTTCCAAAACCCAAGGATATACATTAATTTTCCACACATAATGCACCATGATATTCACATATATTGAGTTTGCTAGAGATACGTTCAATTGCTTTTTGCTAGGATAGCCAGACTGAGAGTAGGTTTCACTGCACATGGCACAGGGGTGCTCTGGGCCTGGAACAAGTGTTCTCTGACTATCAGTGCATGTACCAGATCAGAGATACTTTGGCATTGCTTGAATTCTTCTTAACATGAAAATCAAAAATTCTTGTCATTCCAGCACGAAATATTACCAACCTTCAGCATCAGGTTCATATGGATACCTAGTCATATTCAGGTGTGGCAAATGACACATTTCTGTGATGTAATGGTAATTAATAGCAGACACTCAGAAACAGCTCAGGAGTGTCAGATGTGCTCCCAAGTTAGCACTTGCAGGTGAATTTCACAGTGCAGGATTAAAGTGCTTTATCTTGAGACCTCCCGGTCTTATCATATGATTGCAGAAAGCAAAAAAAAAAAAAAAAAAAAAAAAAAAAAACCAAGTGCCTATTATACATCTAAAGTGAAATGATTCACTGCACAGCATATCCACCATCTTCCTTTCAGGGCTATACTTGAAGAGGTTTGGCAGTGAAACAGCCGGGCTGTGTGAGAACAGAAACCTCCGCTGGTGAGCAGGGAGAGCGGCTCTGTGAAACCAGCCACGGAACGAAAAGCTGCAAACTGGGGTGGGGGCCGTGGGTGTTTTGATTTTAAAAACGCTTAAACGTTCTGTAACTTAGTTGTTTGGGGGTTTTTTTCCTATTGAATACATAAATGAGAAATTTATCACCCACACAATCATGTCTGTTTCAGCAGGAAAAGTGTGTTTCCTCACTCTGTGCAATTTCAATTCTTACAAATGGGAACAGGTAGTGAAAAAGACACGACGAATTGCCCCCAGCCCCCTAAAGGATGGCTATTTTGTTTCTGGGAGGAAAACCCGAGCAGCCACTCACTCGAGGCTCAAGGCAGAGCGTGTTGGTGCGAGGCAGCGGCGGGGAGCGACAGGGGCACGGTT